GGAGGAATGGGGGAAAAGACTATTCATCCACATAGCAACAGCAAATCTCTAGAGCATTCCTAAACATTCACTTCCACATTAGCTTTAAATAAACAACGCGGGTTTAATCATTTGGGCTGGAGATGAAATTAAACTCACTTCCACTTGACATTATGGAGGGGAATAAGCATGGATTGCTTTAAATGCAAACTATTTGTTCAGCATCATCAGCGTCAAGGCTAAGATTACTGCGTAATAATTAACTTTTAAAATATAAAATGATTGTACAATTGCATTGAATTAATAAGATGAGCTGACATTAACATCACAATGTTATTTGCATCCATTAAAATGGCCAAATGTTGACTCTTTGTGTATGTGTCTCAAGGGCTCGCAACGCCTTTATGACCGTCGGATTTGGCAAAGGGGAGATTTGGGGACTTTCACATGAAACTCCAAAGCCTGCTAGTAACATATGATGTAAAATTGACGAGGAGAGCACTCCAGCACGTAATGTGGGCTATTTTAAGCCTGCGCTGCTAAAGACCTGCAAAATGCTCAGGCCAAGCTAAAACGCTACTAAAAGCTGTCAGATTTAATGGGGATGGGTCAACTTCATGGATATTATGCAGTGGCAATGCCAAAGCAATTCGCCGAACGTAAATCCCAAATTTGTCGGAATAACAATTGTTCGGGTCTACAACACCATAGCCTCTGTTAAAGGAACTTTTAACGGATTGTACCGGGTTGACACTGGATTAAATGTCATTCGACAGTTTTCGCATTCCTTGGGTTTATTCATCGTCAACTTGTTTTACTGTGTCACAAATAATTTTACGTTCGGCGGGGAGGTAAAATGCATTCAAGTACACCCAGACGGATATGGCAAAGAAATCTTGAGAATGCAAACTCTTACGATACCCGTTTGACTCAAACCAGTTCCGACAACAACAGTTCCTAAATTAGATGCATTCGAGAGACTCCAAGTGAAAACAATTTTGAGGTAAGCACATTCGCAAAGACCAAAATGATGTTTTTGGTGGTAAAATGTTGGTTTATTATTGCCGCCCATGGGCATCAATATTTTAGGGGCTCCTTTGATGCAAATACGATAGAATTGACAAAAAAATGAATAATTGATAGATTCAAATAAACTTACTTTAATGCACTGGGGAATCCTGTGAAGCATCAGGTACTGTGCTCCCGCCGTCTGGGCTCAAATGCCTTTTCCTATGGCCTTCAGCCATTGGGTAGATTTGTCCACCAATCAGAGCCTAAAAGGAAAGAAATATTAGCCAATGACTGATGAGTCAATTCACATCCTACAGAGCCCGATGCCATGTGCTTTCGGTAGTTAAATTCTTTTCACTTAAGCGAGTATAAATGTTGTATCTGGGATCTGCCAGCCACGATTCGCTCATTGAGGAGCCGAATAACGAAACGACCAGTCATGAATATGATTGTAGGAAAGTGAGCACACAAAAAGCATCACTTTTTGAAGAAAAACCGGAAAAGGAATGTACTTAATTAAGTGAGGTTGACAATTAAGAGTGCTTTGCTGCCGCTGTTAGCCATTGTTGATTTCACAACCTACGTTTACTACATCCGTCTTAGTGACAATCTGCATCAGGCCATTTAATTCTCTCGGAAATTAATTCGTGTCAGTGAAGCGCAGCGGTTGAGCAAATCTAAAATACGAGAATACAAAGCACAGTAAGGCCGAAAAGAAGAGCTGAGAGGTTACTAGCATAGCCTCAAAGCCATGACACCCTAAGAAAATAGTAATCTAGGGGTCAGAATTGGTTTTTTATAAGAAAGGACGACAGAAACACTCCCTTTATCTGATCGACGCAAATCAAGAGTCCCTAATCATTCGTTCGCAAAGTAGACTAGCTCTTTGGCAGTCATAGGTCTAAGCACACCCAGAAGTACATTTGGAAGCAAAATCAGTGGTTCCCTTGGAACCATCATCTGTTCCATAGATTTGCCCTACCTGAGCACCGCACAGAGGTAAGTGGAATAAAACTATCTTATAAGGGCAGTAACTTAAGAGAAAGTGATTCGATGCATGAGAAGGGCAAGACTTGACATACGCGCTAACTTCTCACTGCAGCACTGCTCGTCATTTAGAAGAACAACAGAAAAGGTTTTGAATGTTCCCTTACTCGCCAGCGGAGGAGTAACGCCACATCTAGCAATAGAATAGTCTTGCCTTTTGCTTCTTGGCCAAATTTGATTTAAATGTAATTAGCATTTCCAACGAACGGGGATTAAAGGCAGATGTCAAAAGTGGACGTCATTATCAACCCTTCTTTTGTTAGCAATCACTGTCCATCTTTCTTTAAGCGAGGGTCTATTAACCAAAACTAGAAGTGCATAAATACCCGTGCTGGGAATTGTATAATTACTTTCCTACCCCAGCCTAACTCTCTAAGGGTTTTACGTAGACAGACGTACTTGAAGGGTGAGAGGCTACTAGAACGACGAGAATGGTGCAGCTTTCGATAGCCTATGGACTCGAACTCACATAGCAGCATTAAATAAATACAAGATGTTGCTTAGCCTGCACTACAAATTCGGTTACATAATAGTGGGGGCAATAAAGTCGGCCCTATCCATTCAAATATGAGGTATAACATTATGATTACATTCTTTTGTGATGTTTGGCCCTTCTTCTCACAAAAACGGAGGCTAACGGTGGCAATATAACTGCCGCATTTTGGTCATGGGACTTCAGGTCACGTCACCGATTAGCGAGGCGCAGACACACGTTTCGGTGACGCATAGCCGCCCACCCCTATCTCGAAGTGTAAACAAAACTACAGCCAAGCGGATCCATATGTGGCCTATACCAACACCTACAAACATACACGCACACACAACGTCGAATCAGAGGTTAACACAACTGATTTTTGGTTCACCGGCGCTTGGTTCAACTCAGCACCCACATGCACATGCATTGTTGCGTCGGTGGAAGTCGCATCGCCTCCTACCGCTCTGGTCACATCACTTGCGCGGAATATGCTGCTCTGTCTGTAAGTCAATTTCAACACATCCTTCTTCTGGGAGGGCGCATTGTTCTCCATTCTCTGGCCTTCTATGCTAAGCGTTACTTTGAAAGGAGCGGTTTTGAGGTGATCTGCAATTTAAAAGCGTCTGTGATTGTGTGAGTTGGATGTTTTGGTCGATCCACTAATCCATCCCCTTTGTCAATGTTGGACACAAGGTAGGAGGCGACTGAGAAGTAGTGTTGACAGGAGCGGTTGATGACAGACCCAGTTCTTTGGCGGATCTTGTACAGTGTACTTCTGATTGGTTGTAGGTTCCTTCTATGCCTTCTGCATGGCCCAAGTTCCCTCACTTTGGTGGAGGCAGAGGAATGCTTCAACTCGTGGACCTTTCCAGGTTCCCATGTGGCTGTCAGTGTGAAACCTATTTTCAAGAAAACTGAAACCACCTTAGGGGGAAGAAAAGTGGTGTTACAATGGGACTTTGATCTTATCAACAGAGCTGATGACACAACGGTATTTTTTAAACCCGTACTGCAATCTCTCAAATCATAATTTCTCTCCTACTACTTTCTGTCCTTGAAGTGATTTATCTCAAATAACAGATGAAACTGCTTTAAAAAGAAAAACAAGTATTGAGGTTGATAGAGCGTTCATTCTCAAAATAAAGTCTAACATTCAATCATAGCCTTCCTCTGTTTCAGAAAATACCCATCAACGATTATTGGGGAAAACGTTACGGAACCAAATTTGTGGCCAATAAGGCTTTCTACAACGGAACTGCTAAAATGAGCATCAATGTTGTTGACTCAAAGCTGAGGACGGAACGATGTCCCTTTATTGAGTTGCAGACACGATCGGAATCACCAACTCGGTGTCGAGCATTTCGAAGCAGTCCCAGCAATGCGCCCCTCAATCTCTTCGTTTTTAACAGGTATGTGTGACTCCTACCTCCTCCCCTTTTCCATATACGCAGCCTCAAATGTGCCAGTAAGTTAAATATGCGGTGCAGACTTCGGTGGGCTGCACTGCAAGCACGCAGTGATGCCAATGACTTTAAGTCGACACATGGAAAGGAGGTGTAGCACCTTAAAACTTCCAAAACTTATACGGAGGCAGAACGGTGGAGCAGAATGTGCATTTGTACCATCAGTTAAAGTTAAAAAACCGATTCGCTTGGTGAAATTACAAAGACCCGATGCTAAGAAGGCAAAACCGCAAAACGGAAGGTCAAAAACAGAACCACGGGAACCATGTCGTGCGGGAAAAGGTGTTGTTTTGGGTGTAACGTTGACCCTGTCTGTAGTTTAGCAACGTATTAGACAAGGTGGATAAAATGATTAACAATTCACACTGTCCACGTAAGGTGGACCATAAACATATCCAACCTTTGTCAGAAGCAAGTAATACTCCGACCCGATGTGTCGGATTTAGCACCACTTACATTAGATGCTTCAAGGTTTGCCTCAATGCCATCCAACATCTTCCATCCCTACCTAGAACTGCCCAAATGCAAGTGGAAGTAGGTGAAGGGCAGGACGGTTTCTGCTTTGACCGCCTTAGTCCAGGCACAACCTATCACCTCTGTGTGGCATCAAATGACTGCCTGAATGACTGGAATTGTGGCACCTTTACAACATTTCAAGAGACTTCTCAAAACACGTCTCTCTTTTCAATGAACGTGTATGTTGAGGGAGTTGATTCTGATTGGATCCAATTGAGTTGGCCACCTCCAAATGTAAGAACACCTGCCTCGCCACCGATTGGCTATGTCATCTCCGTTCGCAGGTATAGGGCGTGCTGGGAAAGGGCAGTGTTTGTGTCTGCGCCGTGGGTAAGGACTGTCATGTCTTGCATCACTCCCGTCTACGTTGAACAACCCATTCATGCTGTCATTTCTGATTCAGAGCACCGAACAGGAAAGCGTCTTCATACGCCACTCGGCTGAGAGGCTGGCATCTGCCCACAGCTGCAATGCCCGAAGAGTGAGTGTGGTGGAGGGACAAGTGGATGGGTATTGGCCCGACTTTCCAGGCTCGCGACGATACACTTGGGTTGAGGGCTGGAACCGTGCTGATGTGGACGAGCAGGGTCCGCTGGGCCTGTTTGCTGTCACAATGACAAATCTGCAAAGCAACACGCGCTACAACTTTGACGTCACACCGGTATTCTACCCCGACCTCAACGTTCCTCCGCAGAGCGAAAGTGTAGAAGCCAGAACAGCCTCGAGTAGTAGGTGGTGACTCTGTGCTTGAGTTGTAACTGCGGTTATTAATGGGTTGGTCCAGGTTAATGGGTGAGTTGGGCTGAATAAGGAGGTGGCAAACCACCGACGTATGCCAGACTCTAGTGATGAACGAGTGTCTGAGCGTACGAGGATTTCTCCCGTCGATGTGGCGAGGGCACACAGTGACTACAAATGCACATCTTCCTTGATTTTTCTTCTTAAGGTTCAAAAGTCTCGTTGACACAGAGGGGCACTTCGGTGGAGATATACAAATATGGTGCCTACGAAGTCACGATTTCTGAGATTGGAGCCTACCCAATGCACTGCAATGACAACGTAAGTCGACCCCCGCCACTTTGCATCCTTTTATGCGTGGCATTTGTGTGGGTGCAACCATCCAGCTGGACTGAGAGACATGTGTCTCATTTCAGGTACCCACCTTCAATAACGGAGCTTCAGAAAGGCTGTGTAGAACATCCAGCCACAACACTTGGTATTCCGTTACAATTCCTTTAGGTTCGGGTGCTGTGTATCGAATTAAAATAACCTCGAGTCACCCTCGTAACATCTTCCAGAAGGTGCTCAGAACTCCTCCTGATCAATGTAAGTGCCGAGATTACACGCTGAATTGCTAACAAAACCTTAAGTGAAATTCTACACAACAATGCATGTTGAATGCAGGAGAAGTGATATGCATGAGTCAATGTGAGCGATTCCAATGCGTTTCGCAACCTGCCTCACAACATCAATCAGTGACAATCGGCACCACCATTCCTTCTTCCTTAGCCATTGAAATGGCAAAGCTGGTTGTCATTTGCTTGTTTGCTTGTAACTTGAGTCGTGGTGTGAGTACTTCCCCATAGCTGTAGGGGTTGATGAGTATCCGGTGAGGAGACGACCAGAAGTTCGGCACCCAATCACCTCCCACCTCCCAACTTCACGTCCACATTCACCACGTTGAGACGGTACATCTTAATGGAGGAGGGCGAAGCAAAACATCATTCCCATAACAAAACTCCAATGGTACTTGCTGCAAGGTAGATTCGTGCTGAATGGGGTGCTTCAGCAGTAAGCAGGAACAAGAATTAGTGTTGGCTCACAGTTTGTGATAATGCAAAGGATTCTTGTCTAGAGCTCCCAATTTTGCTACTCCACACTCAAATCTTATCTCTTTTTGAAATCTTTAGTGAAATTTCAACCTCAAATCAAAGCAACCGTCCTATCATCGAATTTAATTAACATCCAAGTGTCTTATCTCAACTGCACTGTGGCCAACCCTCTCGCCTTCATTGTCCGTATCTGCCAGACCAAGGACTACAATCAATGCAAACTGCATCCACTTTATTATGAGGTCGTCAGTTCCTACAGTTTCTATCAAAATCGTTCTGTCTGGCAGGTGAACGAGATGCGAAGTAGCGCTCACCTTAACGCACACATTCGGCCACCAGACGACAAGAATGTGCAAGTCTCTTTGTACGCGTATCCCGGCGATTCGTTCACAGGGGAAGAGCTTCTATTAGGATCCACCACCTCAGAATCCCAACGATATGGTGAGTTCACAACATTAAACGTCGTTAGCAACAAAGTAGAAACGGGGAGTCAAGGGATGAAGACTCCTCTGCACTAACCACTCCCTACTTCCGTCCTTCCTTCTCTAGCCTGCAAGAACTGGTGCATATGGCCAGCTGGCGACTGGACCAACACACACGGACGTGCTCTTGGTACCTACAATAGGGAGCTTGCGAGAAGAGATGCTGACGGTAAAGCGTGTGAGGGCTATTGTGAGCCTCTGACTGAGGCCATCGACGGCGAAAGTGGATGTGTTTCTCGTCACCGACAAATGCAACTCTGCAACATTCCCCTCTGCAGTGCTGTTGGTATGTGCTACGCTTGTCACATGGCTGCGTCTAACACCTCCATTCAAATATGAATGCAGACTAAATCCAACCACATCCATTATCCAAGTGCGGCCTCGATGCATTGCAACTTTCGGTAGAAATAAATGTAACCTACAACACCCGCCACACACTCACACACTAATTTCAGTTGGTACTGCTTCATCGTATAGTCCCTTCCTTACTCATTCAGCCCTCCTCGGTTGCGTAACCGATGTGGATGCTATGCAGGGAACATCTTGGATTGACATGGAGTGGAAGAATCCTAGGGAGCACCTCGCCTCCTCCTCCAAATTCCTCATCCTGGTCACCTCTCGCTACGATGAAGAGGTTGGTCAGGTATTCGTGGAGGTAGGTGACGTAGGTTGAGTTTCACTCGATACCGCTTTAGAGGAACTACCAAGCGGTACTACCGCCGTTCCTGCGTTCCGCAGTGCAAAGTCTTCAACACCAACAAGTCACCTACATCACTGATGACGTGCGGAGGGTCAACATCACCAACTTAGCCCAGAACACGGAGTACAACATCTCCATTATTCCCTACCTGTCGAACGGGCTCATTGGAGCAGTTCTAGAAAGGACAGTCAAAACGAAAATAGCGGGTAAGTGACACTCTTGAACCACGCATCGAACCCGAGTCAGTGCTTTCAAGATGTTCACCTTCTTTAAAGTGGTAGTGCAGATCTTCGTCATTGTGGACGCCAACCCATTGTGCACTACTATCAACCCAACTAGTCCTGCAGTGTAACCTTTAAGTGAAGCCAGTTGACATTCGTTTACCTGCTTAAGGCTTTCCTTCTCCATTGTCATCCAGCCCCCTGTCAGATGGCGCATGTCAGACTAAGACGATCGGGCGGTAATGTGACTCTGGTATGGCACCTGGATTTCAAAAGGACTTGCAGTGCACCAGAGCACCTTGTGGTAGGAATAAATGAGACAAGGCGAGACGTCAAACTGGCATATCCATTCAACGAAGCCTATTTGAAGCACAACTTTGAGTTCTGCAGGACCTACCTGTTCAGCCTGCGTTTTGAGAGCCTTGGAGGCACTTTTACCTACCCACACGTTCTTTCCTCCGCAATCGGATATCCAAGTAAGAATCTGCCCAAAGGCGTGCTAAGTTTGAGAGACTGTTTCGATAATGTCAGTGTTCCCACCAAAACGCATTCGTCTTAGGATTAAAGTCCAACTGCCAATTCTACTGGCTTTGAGTGAGTAGTGACCTCTGCTACCTTCATGTAGGAGGAAGTTGATCACTTGACAAGACATGCTAGTGGAGGTTTCAAGTAGACAGTCACTCATCAAGTTGCAGCAGAGCAGCTCCGTAGGCAACCATTGAACAGTGGTGGTGGTTGTTTGTTGCTTTAGACATCAGCAACAAGGCGCCATCCACTCACCCTCTTGACGCCGAGCCGTACTTCGGAGTATCTTTTGCATCCGA